TTGGTCTTTCATAAACGTGGTATATATGATCTTGCTTATAGAAGAGTAGGAGATAGTTATTCTGCCCGGATTTTGGTAAAAAAAGTTGGAAGAAAGGTTGGTGATCCTGACGAGGTATACAACAGCCAGTCCATAATCGAGGGGGGTATTCTTTGAGATATGAAATCATGAGTAAGTTCATGATTCCTGAGTAGACAAACAGTTGGTATAGCAGATCGCATTAGGCATTTATGCTTGGTGAGTCTTTATTACGTTAGAGCAATAGGTTGTAAGAATTTTGTACATATGGGTATAAAAATTATATAACAGTTCACATGAATAAAGGCAGGATCGCTTAAAAAAAAAAAATAAAAAAATAAGCTACCCTTCTCTTTTGAGCAAAAAACTAAAAGACTTCTTTTACCCAAAAATAAGCTACTCCTTCTGAATTTTTTAAAAAATTTTGACAGTTGTTATATATAAAAGTCAAAATTGTACTAAGTAAATATATATTTGTCACTTAATAAAAGTCATTCAGAATTTAAAAATATATATTCTGAAAGTTTAATACAATTTGAATAACCTTTTATTAATACATTTTTGCATTTTAATTTCAAATTTAAAATGCAAAAATGTACTAATAAAAAGTTATCCAAATTGTATGAAAATTTCAAAATATGTGTATTTTTAAATTCTGAACAACTTTTTTTTGTTAGCTTTTTAATAGTTTTGCCAAAGCTCAAATACAATACTTTATTAAACAGAATGAATAACATTAGTATACTAATTGTGAGCCTGACATTATCTGGCTGTGTTTAGCATACCTAAGAGCGACTTATTACACTAATCTACATATATGTTAAATAAATCTTGTCAGCTTATACTTTCTTTACTAAAACTTATATCAAGAAAAAAAAGAATTTATATAAAAAAAAAACAAACAAAACAAGAAAAGAAAAATTCAAAGAAGTAAAAATAGAAATATAAAAAAAAAAACAAAGAAATAAGCTCTAACAAACTGAACAGAAATTGCTACCTTTAGTAAAATAACAATACTATCTCTATTAAGAAATAGTACAAAAAACTAAACAGAAAAAAGAAAATATACTATTATAACCTGTGCTAGACAAGTATAAAAACTATATAACAAATACCATATGTGTCCAAAAATAAGCTACTTTTTTTGGCCAAAAAAGTGACACAAAAATCATGGGGTAGCTTATTTTCAGATAAAGTTTCAAAAAAGTTGATTTTTATTATTTCTTTAAAATCCAGAAGTAGTTTCTATATATAAAAGTCGAAATTCTATTAAGTAAATCGATAAAAGTCACTTAATAGGAGTTGTTCAGGATGTAAAAATACACATGTTCTAAAAGTTTGAAGCAAATCAGAGAACTTTTACTAAGATGTTTTTGCATTTTACATTTAAATATAAAATACAAAAACAACTTAGTAAAAAGTTCTTCAATTTGCTTTAAACTTTCAGAATGAACAACTCCTATTAAGTGGCTTTTATCGATTTACTTAATAGAATTTTGACTTTTATATATAGAAACTACTTTCAGATTTTAAGAAATTATCAGGGGTAGCTTATTTTCAGAATAACAAATTTTTTTATATTTCTTCTTTAAGAAAAGAAGGGGTAGCTTATTTTCGAATATAGCTTATTTTTGGACACATACAGTACAACATTTGTATATCTTTACTATAAAGCTTTGCCTTAATGTTAGTATTCCTTTTCAACTGTGTAACTGACTCCAGAATATATTTGCCCTGTTCTAATCTGTATCTTAAGCCAAGTTCTGCTGCTATTCATAGATTTTTATCTCAAGCTACTTACTACTGCTATTAGAAAAATATTGCCCAGAACCTGTTCAAAATAGTAGTGCCATATTTGTTAAACACATAGTTGTAATCTATTTGGCTATTCAGATTTGAAATATAAATACTGTTAATATTTTGAAGAGGGTAAGCCAAATCTCTACTTTTTATCCAAAAAGTTTTTAAAAAACGGTAAAAGTTATGAAAAGTATTTTTTATAGATAAAGAGCAACTACTTGTAATACTTGAAAGAAATGTGTTAAAAAAAAAAACTTTTGTTGTTCTTTTTGTCTTTTTTGTTCAACTCCTAAAAAACTTTGTTAACAAAAACTCTTCTTTCTAGAACACTGTTTCTATTAAAATTTTCTGTACAAAAGTACCTCTTGTCAGTTATTTTGCATTAAAACACTTTTGACTTGTATACTGAATATGTAAAGAAGTTAAATAGTGTAGTTAATTTTTACAAAAACTACCTCATCAGAATACAAAGCAATGTTATTTTCAACAATATTTTAAACAGAAAATTTAGAACAAGTGATTAATTCTGAACAACTTTCATTAAGTGCCAAACATATATTTACTTAATACAATTTTGACTTTTATATATAGAAACAACTTTTACTTAATAAAAAATAATCAAAAACCTCTATTACTTGAAAATAAGCTACCCCAAAATTTTTGTGTAATTTTTTGTCTAAAAATGGTAGCTTATTTTTAGAAATATATAGTAATTTATATATTGTCTCTAATATCAAATTGTTATCTTCTGCTAGTAGAAGTTAGAGCATATTTTACTTTCACTTTGTATACATTTCAATAGTAGGATCTCTGCACTAGGTAATCTTTGTTATCTTGCTACATAATAGCCAAGAAGACCATAGTATTAACTAGCCTATTTATAAAATAAATCTGATAGTATATGTTATATATATATAAGAGTAAATTAATAAAAAAGTAACAAATTTTTTTAAGTAAAGTTTTTTTAACTTTAAGTTAAATAACTAAGTAATTATTTTATTAAATTTAATAAAATTTTTTTTATTTTTAATTTTATATAATTATAAAATTAAATTAAAAAATTTTATTTTTGTGGTTTTTAACCTGTAGTCAATAGCATAGTGGTTATGTTTTCAAATTGCAAATCAGAAAGTTGCCAGTTTAATTTCTAAAATAATGAAAAACTAATACAAAAATAAAACACTATAGGGTACAAAGAACTCAAGACACTTACAGATAAGTATATTTGGGAAATAGTTATTCTAAGAAGTTGTAACTATGAAGCAAGGTGTGTTAGAACTTTGATTTGAAATAACCCAAGTTATGAAATATAAAAACTTATAGTGACATAGGATTTGAACCCAGGCTAAACAATATCTTTAAATATACCACACTATATGTGGGATATAGTAACTAATATTAGTGTGATTGGGTATCTTGAAATAAAGAAAGCTAGATATTAGTTTAATATATCAATTAAATAGCTTAGTTATGTATTAAAGTCATGTATTAAGATTAAAATATTTAATAAAAGGTTTAGTATATGATTATCAAAGAAAAAAAATTTTTTTGTAGTTTTTAAAATAGTTGAAAATTGCAAATAAAGTTTTTTTAACAAATATTCAAATATCTGAATACTCAATTATCTTAGTATATTGATTAAATATAACCAACCTGTATAACTATTGTTTAAAGACAATTTAAACAATTACAAAATTTTAATTGATTTTCAATTAATATACTAAAGTAATTAAGTATTCAGATATTTGCATATTTGTTAAAAAAAATTTTATTTGCAATTTTCAACTATTTAAAAATCATAATAAATAGAGATATCTATAACTATATACTAAAAAAATTTGTATGTAATGATAATGTTTAGATTATCTGTATAAATTGTGCTATTAAATTGTGTAACTGTAAATCGCAACATTTTTATTGGTTAGCTGCTGCATAGATTTTTTACTTTTACTATATAGACGCGTAATAACGTGCATTTTTTAATGCATGCTTTGTTAATTCAAAAAACGGTAAAACTTTCCTAAGATTATATATGTGAGTGTTATTTTGAGATGCTCATAGGCATTACTATGCGATTTTTAAAAAAAGGAAAATTTTTCGAACTAACACCCAGGTGATTATTATGCACTTATTGGTACAACCTTGAGACAAATGTAAAGTTTCAACTTTAGTTATGTCGGCTCCTCCATTTAGTAAATTTAACAATTTAAATTTTTGAAATAATTACTGTAAACGAAAAGCAGGTATGTATGCTGAGATTGTTCGCCGATTTTAACTCAAACTAAATCAGTTAAGAGTATATAGTATGACGTAGTTTGTGCTTTGTAATTAATTTTATCTTAATGCTTTCTTTAAATCTGTTTTTGGTGATTAGGCGAGACCAATTTGATTCTGTGTTTCATATTACCCTTTTAAACTCTCCCCCTCTCTTTTATAAGGCAAAAGAAATTTTCTACATATATAACACTTCAACACCCTTTTCCCCAAAAGATAGAGAAGGCAACATAAAATACAAAATCAAGTTGGTTTCACCTTTAACTTAAAATTGTTGATGCAAATAGTTTGAAGAATATATAATGGGATAAGTATTTATATGCTTGAATTGTAATTTGTTTTGCTGATTAATTCCATGATTAATAAATGCCCCTTTAGATTCACGAGCAGAATAAATGGATGTGAATGAAATAGCTTGACTGGTATGTAATATGAAATAAAAATATGTATTCGTGATTTGTAACTGGTTTTGCTGATTAACTCTATTGTTTGATAAATGCCCTTTAGATTTATAAGCTGAATATGAAATAGCCTAAAGGTAATGATGCAGCCGAACTTTCTCTTTCGATTCCACTTCGTCTTAAACACACTAGTAATATATCAATTTAATATTTTACATTATCTAAAGTATAAATTTTTAATTTTTTTTTATTAAAACCCTCATAAGCGTTATTTTGAAATCGAGTCCATCAAAAATAGCTTATATAGTCTCAAATTAGCGCTCATGGGCATCCTAATATAGCACATAATTTACTCTATAATTTGATCATCAGCAAAAGTTCGACAACAAGCAGCCGATCTAATAGCTGTTGTCATAAAACATGTGGTGAGGAAAAACTGATGAGTCATCTTGGTGTTGTCCTTTACGAATATTTAGACGAAGAATATCCGAAGGTGTTTGGGTCTATTTTGGGAGGATTAAAGTCTATTGTTAATATAATTGGCATGTCAAGTATAACACACCGATTAAAGATCTTATTCCCCATTTGATGCCTATTTTGAAGAATAGACATGAAGTTATATTTTAATTTTACTATTGTTTTATTATATAATCATATTATTTTTCACTAAAAAAGTGTATTTTTTCAATTTATTAGAAAGTGCAAGAATCTTATATTGATTTTGTAGGTCATATTGCTGATTGTGGTGCAGAATTTGTTAGTGCGAGAGAATGGATGTACATATGTTTCAAGTTATTGGATATGCTTAAAGCATATAAAAAAGATATCTGTTGTGCTACAGTAAACATATTTGGTTATATCGCTAAGGCAATTGGACCACAAGATGTTTTGGCAACATTACTTAACAATTTAAAAGTTCAAAACATCAAAATAGAGTTTGTACTACAGTAGCTATTAGTATGTCTTGCTTTAAATTTGACTTTTTACGCTCCAGTCTAATAACATTGCTTAATTATACTAGCCATAGTTGCCAAAACCTGTGCACTATTCACGGTCTTACCTGCATTGATAAATGAGATAAAATTCTTCGATAAATACTTGCTTAACCTTTACTAGATAATATATTTGAAGATTCAAAATCGGCTAACAATATAAATCAACTGGGTTGGAATATATTCATTTTAATTTCAATCTTATAATTTCAAATTCGTTGTTTTTAGTCTCTTTCATTCTTATTTGAATATACTGGTGAAATGGGTAAAGATTACATTTACGCCATAACGCTGTTATTGGAAGGTACTTTGATAGATCGTGATTTAGTGCATAGACAAACTGTATGCACCATAGTTAAAGGTAAGTATCTAGATGTATGCATAAAATCATAACATTGTTAGTTGAGTACTAATCATATTTTATGTATTCAGATATGTCGGTGTTTTCAGATTGGGTTGTGAAGATGCTCTTCTACACCTTTTAAACTACGTCTGCAGTCTAATGTAATTATTTAATATTATATGTGGATTATTCTCCATAATGAATATTTTATTACTCAACAATATGCATTTATTAAGGTCAACTATATAGAATTTAGAAAATCTTCTCTTATTTCGAAATAACGTATATTAATTAACGTACAGGTGAACGTTATTTCCTGCTAATATGGCAATAGTAATATGATATAGGCTTATCAGCCTGCAGCTTCACTATTAGCTCCAAAATTTGAACCGAGTCGTTTGCTTATTAGTGGGCTTGGAGCTGTTCACATCACCCTGAAGGGCATATAATAGGATAAGTATTTATATTTATACTTTTTGCTTAATAATTTCAATTATTAAAAATTTTACTTTTAAATTCACGAGCTAAATGAAATAATTTATACAAATAAAGGGGTATGTAATAAGAAATAAGAATTTATTTTTGAACTGCTTTTTCTGATTAACTCCAATGATTAATAATGCTCTTTAGATTTATAAGCTTATTAAAATAGTTGATGTGAACAAGGAGTATAAAGGGTATGTAATAAGAAATAAGTATTTGTGTTCTTTGAGTTTTGAGCTGATTTTGCTGATTACCTTCAATGATTAATAACTAATCTTTAAATTCTATAAATAACATTGTATAAAGAGAGAATAAGAACAGCACAGGTTGAATGAAGACAAATTGAGCACCAACCATCATCACGTAATTCCGATATGAACCTGATTTGAAAAATATTTGTCAGAAATAGAAGACATTAATCAATATATATTGGAATGCCAAGAACTCAATTGGTAAATTGCTGATATGTATTACATCTATATAAACCTAATTTGTATTCTAGCAATCTCTTGTTTCTGCCAAATATTTATTTTAAATCAGGCTGTTTTGAGCCCGATTTGTCTTTATTTTAATCTGCGTTTAATAGATTCAGAAATGGCTGATACAAATGAAATGGGTTGGGTGATTAAAACTTCAATTGAATCCAATTGAGGAATTGAAGCTTCATACGAATTAAAGATATATAAGGGTATAGTTTTAGTCCATGAAGGGAAGAATGGTTGTTAGAACAATCGTTAACAGTATTTTAGTATTATTGTAATAATTCAATATATTGATTTATGTTAATAAAGAGAAACCTTATATTCTTTAATTAGTTTATTAATTTAACTCTTTGATCTTAATCACTATTTGTAGTCTTCGATCTGCAATCTGACTAATTCGGATTGATCCGATAATTTGGATTTGTCAATTTTAAACGGATAGATCTGTAATATATTTCGGATTGAGGATGAGGATTATGATCCTTACAATATACCATTATAGTGACACAAACAAGAGAAAATATATGTGCAGCCAAACTGTAGGACAAAATACCAAACTGTAGAACAAAATAAAATTAATACCTGTCATGATTATTAATGGTCAATGCTAATAGACAGAAAATGGGATTTAATATGAACGATCATACTATATATCAATAGACCACTTTTTGTGATATGGCCACCTACGGATAATTTTATTTATTTTCAATATGTCTGTCTGTAGCACAGTACTTTTATACAGTCTAGAGGAGTCTAATTTATGCCTTATATTAAAATGTATATAAATATAATAATAAAGACAAACAGACAAAACAATAAAATATTATATTGTCTATATTCTTTACAATAACATATGCTATTTCGATTTAACAATTATAGAGATTCGTTTAGTTCTTACACTGAAAGTCTGAAAAACTAGTAAAACAGCAAAATTTTTTAATTAATAAATATTGTATTATACTGCATCAGTGTATGTTTCTATTTTTATCATTAAGTTAAAGATTAATATAAGGATTATTTTAAGTACTATATTGTATAATTAATATTGTACATGAATTAGATAATATTATTAAAGAGCTGTTAAAATTGATTTTATAATATGAACTTTACAACTATTGGAGTTTCACCTATTAAGTATCTGAATAATTATAAGATATCCAAATTTGAATTTATTCAGATATTCGTTTACTATTGATATCTGGATAATTATTCAGATATTTGAGTGATCTAAATTATCTAGATAATTCAAATATGGATAATAGATCATTTGGATTAGAACTAACTATAAAGAGTTGTTAGAATAATTTCTTTTTCATTCTAACACTAACAGTAAAAAGCTTTATTTACTGTATTTATGTAATTATTGTTTTTATGTTAACTAATAATTAGCCAAAACTCACATGACTGCTGTCTTTTTTGTGTATTATGTAGAGAAGTTTTGGAAATGCTAATTATTCAATGATTTTTCCGAATTGAACATATGGGTAAAAATTTTTGATGGGAATTTTGTGATTAGTGATATAGTAATTAAAACTGCTAAAAAAATCAAAATTATTTATAGATAGTTTTAAGGTTTCATAAGCAATTTTATAATTAAAAAATAATATGCCAATCTCTACAATTCAATTTTATTATAATTTATCAATAATTATGCAATATCGCATAAATGATTGAACTAGATCTTGCCAAATTAAAAAATTTTACCTATATGATTCTAATTAAATTCAAATTTACTCAATTCAAATTATAATTGAATTCATGAAAGAGAATCTGAATTTAATTCAAATAGTTCTAAAAAATTAGGATCGAAGCTCTACTGGTAAGTGATTTAGATTATGTTAAGTTAATATTATGTTGGATTAATTATAGAAAATGCTGTAGGGTGTGGCGGCTTAGTGAAGTGGTCAAGTCGTCACCCTCTCCAAGTAGCAGGTCTAGGGTTCAAATCCCACAGACGA